AGGTTGGGGTACCACCCTTAAGACCTCATTTAACCTTGATTACCTCATTATGGGCTCTATCTCCAAATATAGTCACATTGGGAGTTAAGTTTTCAACGTATGTATTGGAAAACACAATTCAGTCCACAGCACTGACTGTTGGAACTTGACTACTGAGAGACTGCCGTCATGATTGTGTTGTGCATCTATCTCTGTGCATACTCCTTTTTGATCTCCTTTGCTGGATCATCCTGAATTTCCCAGTATCTAAACATTAGAAGATTCCAGAATTTAGACCTCAAGTATATTCCCATTTCCCAAGTGATGTCATGCTCTTCCCTGGCTTTCAATACCATTTCATCTGCCCATGGCTCTCCAGAATTATATCCACACTGCCTATGTGACATTTCTATTTGGAAGTCTCAAAAGTATCATAGGGATAACATGCTGTCTGATATTACTTTAAGTCATTATGACTAAACTCAAATAGGCCCTTAGTGCTCTAGGCCATCATAATATACTTCTCTGATAATTGCTGCTCTTTACTATCCTGGATGACTATTTCACATCTTCTCTCTGCATACCTCCACCACCTCTCCTAGTCTCTCTCTTAGCCAATACTCTTAATTTTTATTTCACTGAGAAATCACAGGGAACTTTCAAATCTTGCACTAGCATCACAACCCACCTAGCAGTACCTCTACCATTTACCCTGCCTTCTCTTCTGTTTGAGTGGATGAATCATCCATGCTGCTTTCTAAAGCCAATCACTCTATATTACTGTTCCATCACTGCTGTAACAAATTAACACAAACTTTATTAGTTCATGGAGCTGTTAATGGGATTAGCTAAGTGCTCTGCTTAGAGTCTCACAAGATTGAACACAAGGTGTTGGCAGGACTGTACTCCTTTCCCGAGGCTTTGGGTCAGAATCCGTTTCCAAGTTCATTTAGGTTGTTGCAGAGTCCAATTCCTTGCACCTGTAGAACTAAGATGTCTATTTCCTTGCTGGCTGTCAGCTGGGGAAGCCCTCAGCTACTATAGGACTCTCTCTGGTTCTTGCACATGGGTCCTACATCTCAGAGCCAGTAGAAGTGTGTTGAATAGCTCTGATACGTGTAATTTGTCTAATTTCTTTTGCTGCATTTTGTTCTACTTCCAGCCAGAGAAAGTTCTCTGCTAGTAAAGACTCATGTGATTAGATTGAACACACTCAGATAATCCAGGACAGTCTCCCTCCTTCAAGATCCATAACCTCAATTATATCCGCAAATTCCCTTTCGCCATGTGATATAATATATTCAGAGATTCCTGGGATTAAAGTATGGACATCTTTGGAGGGCCATTCTGCTTATCACACACTCCGTTTGTGCTCCAACAACTTTCTCCTCTCTTCTGCGGCACTAATTATTCCTCTCAACTGGATCATTTGTACCAGCATACAAAATGCGGATATTTACCCCATGTTAAAAATGCTCCCCTGACTCCATTTTTCCTCCCAACGACTACCCTGTTTCTCTGCTCCTTTGGGGGAGAACACCTTGAAAGAGTTGCCAATGCTGTTTGTTCCCAATTCTTTGCCTTCCATTCTCTATTGGTTTTTCACCCTTTCTGCTTTAATAAACCTGATTTTGACAAGGGCACAAATGATTACACATTCTAAATCCAGGGTCAATTCTCAGTCTTCATCTAACATTCATTTTACAATGCTGATCATTTAAAATTTCATTTGGCTTCCAAGATCACCCGCTCGGGTTTTTTCTTACTTCTCGGAGACTCTTTCTCAGTCTTCTTCACTGGTTCTTAGTCTGACTACTTGATCTTGGACTGCCTGGGGCATTTCCATCTGTACTCATTTCCTTGATAATCTCATCCAGCTTCATGGCTTTAAATACCATGCATATACAATAACTTCCAAATTTATATCCATAGCCCAAAACCATCCCCTGAATTCCAGACTTGTATGTTCAACTACCTACTATGCATCTCCATGGAGATACCTTATAGGCAAAGGTAGCATGTTCACTGTCAAACTCTGTATCTTCCTCATAAAACGTGTGTTTCCCATCATCTCTTGGCTAATGCCAGCTTCACGTTTGATGGAACCCAGAATTTTGGAGATGTTATTGGCTCCTCTCACTAATCCCCCTCTTTTATATCTAACATCCAATCCATTTAACAAATCCCATTGTCTCTAACACCAAACTATAATCAGAAGTCAACCACTTGTAGCCACTTCCACAAAACCATCTTGCTCAGCATCACCATAATCTCTGGCTTGTTTTATTGCAATATACCCTTCATTAGCCCCCCTTATTCCAATCCAACCTCTACAGAGCTGCCACAGTGACCCTGTTAAAATGTGAGTCTGATCACCTCAGTCCTCTGCTTAAAACCCTCTTTCTTTTAGAATAAAAGTGAAAGTTCTTCAATGACCTAGAAAGCCCTACACGAGCTGCTCCCTCCATACGCACTGCCAACTCCTACTCATCGGCCGCTCCCACCTCAAAGCCTTTGCACTGATGTCTTCCTGCCTGCACTGCTCCTTCCTGCTTCTTTCCTCATCAACTTCAAGTCTTGTTCATATAACAGCTTTGCAGTGAGACCTTCTCTGGATACTCAATTCCAAGTGGCAAGGCCCTATCTGACCAGTGACACTTTACTGTCTTATTTTTCTCTATACAATATTATCACTATTAAATAGCCTATAAAAAAATTTTAACTTATTGTTATGGTCTGTCTCCCCTCAGAAGATCAGGCTTTCATGAGGGCAAGGGCTTTGGTGTTTGTTTGTTTGTTTGTTTGTTTGTTTTCATTGCTTTATCTCCAGCATTTAGAATAGTGCTTGGAACAGAGTAAGCAATCAACAAGTGTTTGTTGCTGTTCAATGAAGATCCAGAATCACCCCTTATTTCACCTCCGTACCAGGTCCTTCTTCCAGTCTTCCCCATAGCAGTGAATGGAAACTCTGTTCTAGTTGGTTCAAGACAAGACTCTGGGAATTATTCTTGAAAATCCTGCCAATTGTATACATACACACACACACACCCTCCAGAATCTGACCCTCTCACCTTCACTACTGCTTTCACCCAAGTTCAAGCCATTATTGCAATGGCCTCATTAGTGTTCTTTCTGCTTCTACTCTTACTGCCCTGGAGTCTATTTTCCACATAGGAGAGGAAATCCCTTTAGAATTTATGTCAGATCATAAGACTTCCTTAGTTCAAAACACTCTGAAAGGTTTCTCATCTCAGAATAAAGTCTCAATCCTTGATGTGGCCTATAAGATACTTTCTGATGTTGTCCCAGACAGAGCTCCCTGAATTCATGCCTTCTCTTTGTTCATTCTCTCCCAGCTACTCTATTTCCCTTTTTGTTCCTTGAATAGGCCAACCATTCACCTGTCTTAGGCTTTCACACTGCTTCCTCTGTTTGGAATGCAGACGCACATGACCTGCTTCTTCACTTCATTCAGGCTCAAAGTTGCTTGATCAGGGTGCTTCTCTAATCATCATACCTAATACAGCATGTGCATGCGCACGCGCGCGCGTACACACACCACACACACACACACACACACACACACACACACACACCTGTGCCCTTACTTTCTTTGATTTTGAAGCCCTTATTACTATTGACAGTATATATTTACTTATTTTTATTGCCTGTCTTTCCTCTAACCCAAAATATAAACTACGTGAAAGCTGATACTACCTGTTTTGTTCACTGCCCTATCTTCAATATGAAAGATAAACGCCAACAAAGACAGGCTTGCATAACCCTAGCACATAGGATCTCAAAGAGGTATAAATACTTTTTTTTCCCCCTCTCCAAGAATCAGTATTAACATCTGAAAAAGGACTCTGGCTATCTTGAGTGTTGTGCCTACCCCTAAAACATTTTCTCTGTCTAGAGCATTGGCGAAATCTGATTGGCCAGTCTAGGTCCCATGCCCCTTATAATTCTGTTGTGGGTGGTGTGTGTGTGGGGGGGGTGGAGAAGGCTATGCAATCCATAGGTAGAGAAAGGAACATTTCCAAAAAGAGGTTCTGTTAGCAGAATGGGGTGGGGGGCGAGAGGCTATGCGGGAGGCTGAAATAACAGATGGCCACCACCGAGCTTTTCCAGAGAAATACAGGGATGAGCTGGGACTCCTGGTAGAGGAGGTATCCTTAAATAACTGTACCTTCACACACTTTGGGAGAGAACATGCTGATACCTCAGGCATGCCTGTGTGGCATCACTGCCTCCTCCTTCTTGAATGACTCCCTGTGGGGAGAGCAGGAGGGATCTCCCTAACATGAATAATCTTGACACTTCACCACATAAACTGGAGGAAACATAAAAAAAAAAAAGCAGCTATCAACAGCATAAACGTGATTCCATTTTTCACTGCACCTAATATTGTGCACTAGTTCATTTACGCCATTGTTCATCCATGGCTATAAAAATGAAGCAACAGCTCATTTTTAGGTAAGGGTAAAAATAAATTAATTTGAAAATAAGCCACAGCTATGAAGTGGGCCTACGTACCTACACTCACATTTGGAAAACTATGAATCTTGCTGCTCTTATATAGCTCAGGGGTTTTTGTCTTTTTTTTTTTTTAAGTTTTGTATTTTTTGATACAGCTTCCCAGAAGGTATTTTACATTTTAAAAATGTATTCCTGAATATAGGAATTGTTTCTGGGGTTCTCCTGAGAGTGGGGTACCCAGGCTAACCACAGGCTCACACACATTCTTCCCATAGTACAGTACTTTCAAATTAATAGCACATGCAGAGGAAAAACTAAACCCTTTGACGTCACTCTTGAAATGAGGAAACATAAACAGAAAAGGCTCCACTCCAGTAAGCTGCCAGAGTTGAAGCTGATTGGTCTCTGCTTTTCCTTGCCTGTGGCAACTGACAGCACCTCCCCGCCTAGCAGGCCGGCTGCCCGCCAGTCGGTGGGTCTGGGCACTGCAGCAGGCTCGGCTCTGTCCCAGCACTTGTCTGGGAGAAAAGTGGTGTACTCACCCAGAGAGAATCTTTCTTTCCACCTTCCTTGTTTCTCGATCTCTCTGTGTGCTTTTGTGTGGCTTTCCTTTTTTTTTTTTTCCTTTCTTTTTTTTTTTTACTTAATTATATTCCTAATCCTGGATGAAGTTGCTGGATTCTGCAGCACAAGTCTTCATGAACAAGCAGCACCGCTCAGAGATTTCACGGCATTCAAAGGTCACAGAACTGCCACTATGGTTAAATGTCTTGTTTAATGGTTGAGGTAGGTACAACCAATTTAAGCGGCAAGCTCATTTTTCTTGAGACGACAGAATCACAGAGTGATGGCAGGGATTTTATTTAAAATGAACCTGTACATATATATTTTTTTTGGTGTGTGATTGTTACTACAGCAACCAGCTTTTGAATTTCCTTCCTTTTTCTAGGCGAACTGACTAAACATTATCACTTACCCTGAATTAACCATTTCATTCCAACCAGCCTAATGAGACTTAGACATTTTCACAGCACTTTAAGACCCCACTGAGCAGGGCTGCTTGCTTTCTTTCTTTCTTTCTTTCTTTCTTTCTTTCTTTCTTTCTTTCTTTCTTTCTTTCTTTCTCTTTCTTTCTTTCTTTCTTTCTTTCTTTCATTTCTTTCATTTTCTTTCTTTCTTAATGAATGCAATATTTCTTCTTCAATGTAAATCTTAGAGTTGGGTCATTTTTCTTTTTAGTGGGATAGGATCGGAAAATATTGGTAAAGAGATTGGTTAGGGCTGCAGAACAGGGAAAAAGAAAATCAGTATTTTTCTTGAGTTTGTCATGTTGGTTGATAGCCGATTTCAATATGAAGAAATTAATAGGAAGAAAGGAAGAAGCTGGTAATGAGATTGAAGGTAGAAAAACCTACAGGGGCATGCCAGAAAAATAAATTCTTAAGCAAAATGCACTTTACCACCTTGTTGCATTTTTTTTTTAAATGATCTGGATGTAGAAGTCAATGGGGGAGATGCAGGGCTGACCAATGACTTACATCTTATTTCTAAAGGAAAATAAAAACTTCTTCATTAGCACTGCAAATTTGCTAATTATCTTTTCTTATAATAGTTGAAATCAGAGTGAGATATTTAATTAGGAACTTAAGTGATTGATCCTGGGGACTAATTAGTCTTTTATAGATTCATGTGCTGTAGCCAGACTGACTATTAAAATGTTAGACTAAATCTCTTTGCACTGGAAGGCAAATGGATGCATTCATATACAGTAAACACACTAAATGCTGCAGGAAGCAGGCCAGTAAAACACAGGGATAATGTTGTTTTACACGGCACATTATTAATATGTGTTAAGGGGGACCCCTGCTAAAAAGCATTCCTATCCAGAGTCAATTTTTGTAAAAGCAATTCAAGTAATATATGGTTAACATGGATTTCCTTATTATCCTTCTCAAAGTTATGCAATAGCAAGTAAGACAGGATTATTTGAAACCATAACTCTTGTTTCCAAAATTTCTTACTTGATTTAAAAAAAAAAATTCTGTTCTCAACATTGAGAAACAGAAATGCTAAACTGGGTTATTAAGCAAGGAATCAAATATAGTGCATTTCAAAGGGTTAACAAAATTATCTGCATAATACTGTAATGTACCAAATTAAGAACTGCAAAAATATTAGCTCTGAAATGTAGAGGATGTGCTGTGAATGGACAATTGCTTTTCTGCAGCTCCTAGTGGGAAAACAAGGACTTTGTGTGTTGCAAATGCCTGACTGCAGCTCCTCCATTTCCTCTGCTTTATCTTTTATTACTGGCTGGTGAAACAAAGACGGGTGTCAGTAGTTACGTCTTGATTGACATTTTCACTAATAAAATGAAGTTGCTTTTTGTCTCAACTAGAAGCCCAGAGTTAACTGATTACATCTCCAAAGTCCATATCTTCTTTATAAGGATGTTTACCTGACCCTGTAAGCTGTCCAATTTGAGTGTACTGACTCAGTTGAACAACATGAAATAAAATCAGTGGTGGCTATGTCAGCAAATTAGCTAAAACTCTTTTTTGAATCAAGTTACTTAGAGCAAGGGTAGAAAAGCCAAGATGTGTTAGGAACAGACATCAACTTAGGGAAAATAATTGTACCAGTAAATCTTTTAAGGCCTTACACTGTGTTTAGCACAAAGCTATGCGTTGTCAGTTCTCAGTAAATATCTACTTAAAACATTTGCTGAGAATTTACTACCCTTTATATGTTGTAAATTTTAAAATGATCTTCAAATATGGCATATATAATTGTCTTTGAAAAATGTGTTTGGTGTTGGTCGAGACTAAAATATAATCTAGATATCAACACATTAGTGGTACAGAGGAGGGAATTCCCAATGTTGACTTGCATTATTTTCAGCCAGAAGGCATCTTACTCCAAACTGGTGCAAAAGCACAATGACCAAGTTTTCTCAAAGTGGGAAAGTAACACCTGGAAAATGCCTCCACCTAGTAATTAATTGTCCAAAGTCTGATTTGTTGTTAGCTAGGCTCAAGTCATAAGGGAATCTGCTTGTTGACTCACAGACCATAGTATTGGAAGAAATTTATTAAGAAGTAAATTAATCCCTTGTAAGACTGAAAGGGCTTCATTATAATAAAAAGAACTATCAAAATTAAGAATCAGGATATACTTCAGAACAGCTAAGTGTAAAAGCAACAGATATTCTAAGTGGTTCAACTCACAATAACTTTTGGGGGGTAACTTATTGGGAGATTCTCAATGTACAGAAATTATTACCCAAAGAATCCATCCTTTGGAGTCAGATCATGTCTTTCAAAGAAGTCTACAGACAAGTTGGACTTTCTCTTCTAGGAGGCATATTGGGCTGAGGAAGAAGGGATATGGCTTTTGGAATTGCAATGAGACCCTCTTTATGAGCACCTCCCCAAGGTGGTATCCCCATTTCACCTAAGAATTCACCTTGGGGAGCACTTCCATCATTCACGTGGCAGGAGCCTTGGGGTCAGTACCACTGACCTCTATAAGCATCCTAGGTAGCTCTGTAAATGTGCTAATGTGCTAACATTGATTCTCCAGATGATGTGTACTTGGTAGATTAGCAATCTGTAGAGCAGTTGATATGGAAATTTGGGAGACAGAAGGGAAAAGGGATGAGAAACCCAAACTGACTGACCAAATACCTACTCTGTACCAGGCGTTGTTAGAGATTTGAATACACAGAGTTAAATGTGTCAATACTCTAGTACATAATCAAGGCATTTATACTTTCCCAAGAATCATGTAGCTATCTAAATGATTTCATTTGTATTTAGAAAATGACTGCACAGAGTACACTAAAAAGAGCAGCAGAGAGAGACAGGGAACGCATCCTCACTCAGGCTCTACCTCGTTGGGTGACTCTGAGCCACTTGCTTACTCTTGACCTCAGTGTTATCATTTGCAAAAGAAACTGGTTGTATTGAGTTATTGCCAACAATCCTTTTTGGATCAAACTTTTTAGTATTTACTTTCAGTTGGGAGTTCTTTAAAAATTCCATTTATAAATAAATGATAAAGTGTCAAATCTTTATTCAAAAATATTACTGCACACTTTCAACATGTCAAGGGCTATACCAATTGAGGTGAAATGAATCAAAACATAAGGGATGATTCCCACCTTTAAGAAGCTTATATTCCAGTAGAACATACAAACAAATATTGGAGTCTGTGCAGATAAATGGAAAAACAAAAGAGAGTGTGGGAGGGAGGTGGTGATGAAAAATGAAACAGAAGAGGTGACTTCATACAAATTGAAATTCAAGAAAAATCAAAATTTCCTATCTATGTATTCAACTCTATTAGTGTGATCTTTAATATGATCAATTGAAGGCATTGTCATTCTTCTAAAATAATGTGTTTGTAATGGTGTTCTTAAAAATATAATGTTAAAGAGCCAAAATTTCTCGGTTGGTTGATTAAGCTACTCTACAGGTCTAGGATGGTGAATTAAATCAGTGCATTAATGTCGTCTCTGTCATCACTTGAACTTGAAACCCCTAGAAGTTAGAGAAAGCAAGAGTTCTTTGAGAACTTTGACAGCAGCCCCAGATGCCGGCAGCCATTGGGTACAAGTAAGAAAGGTTCACAAGTTGCGATGGGCTGAACGTTGATGCAATGTGGTGTTATTGGAAATGCCCTTGGTATCGGAAAAGTTCACATAGTGGGCCATAACTTCCAGAGATGACCTGTGTAAATTAAGGAAAGTGTCTTAAACATTGGAGTCCTCAGTTCCCTCATTGAGAAAGTGAGGCTGTTAAAAGACTTCATGGATGCCTTTCTCCTTTCCAAATTTTGTGCTTTATCCTGACAAGATTAATGTTGATGCATTAGTGTTCATTTGTTTTTATTCTTCCACGTCTCCCATCCTTTCTTTCTACCATTTTCCTTTAGAGTTTGCCTTTACTCAGTTGTCCAGGTTTACATAATTCCACCTCCAAAATACTCTCATTGCCAAACAAAAACAAAACAAGGTCTTGGATTTTGGAGAATTTCTCCCCAGGAGGATTATTGCTCCCCACGAAAGGTCACCTATCCTTGCCTCATTTCCCTCCTGCAAGGCTGATGTGCTTCTCCATAGAAGTAGCTCTTCCTTCAGACAGTAAAGGGACATGCTTTGTGTTCATTGTAGCTGGGGACTTTAATGTTACACGACAAGCGTCTTCTTCCTGAGTGCCAATCACTGTCTAGATTTTCTTTATTATTTCACTTAATATCTCCTCAACTCCAATCCTGGTGTCTTTAGAGAATAACTGAAAACATGCTGATAGCTAACTTGGAGGAAGCCTCAGAAAAAAAAATTTTGGTGCACTGGTTGTCCATTGAGTATCTGCTCTGAGACCTTGCCCCGAAGGTACAGGGTCACTGCCTCATCCTAGTGGTACGTTTTGATGCAATTCAGTTACCCTAATCCAGACATTGATGAGATCCTACTTAGGCCAGAGTATTCCTGCAGGCATCTCCTCTGGGGGAGGCTTCACCGTTAACAGCTCAAGCATGGAGAGTAGAGAGCAGGGTTTGTAGTTTTGTGCAAACTTAAAAATAACATGACACAAAACACACAGAAATCAATTAAGAAAT